ATTCAAACTTTTCTAATATGAATTTTCAAAGAAGTTCCTTAAAGACTTGTTAATGAAAAATGAGTCCTATATTCCTTCTTGATTAATCCTTGATAAACTTCAAAGTTAAGAACAATCAATATTAAACCCTAAACCCACTACAAGAATTCCTTACCACTTGAGAAACCTACTCAAGATTTACAATTATTCACAAAGAATTAAAGGAACGAATTCACCTGGAATTTAGAAGCAAATATTAATCTTTCTCTTTTCAAGAATGTGATGATGATCTTTTCTCAAAGCATTTCAAAAATGTTTTACTTCTTGGTTTCACAAAGAAAAACACTCCAAGAAGGTCACAAAGACTTCACAATAACATTTTCTCTTTTTGATTCTCTGTTCTATCTTGTTCTGAAGTTTCAAAATGTAAGAACTATTTAGAACATTTTCAGAACTAGATAATCGATTATTTTAAGGGATAATCGATTATTTTGTTCTTCATGATTTCTGGAAATCAACCAAGAACAAATTAATCGATTATTTTGTAGGATAATTGATTATTCCAGAGAGTGATTCCTAGGATAATCGATTATTTCACAAATAATCGATTATTGCAGCAAGGCATCCTTTTTACCTATTGCTGGAATAATCGATTATATTTAATGATAATCGATTATTTTGAGTCAATTTTCAAAAACTTTGTTTTATGTCTCAAAATAACTTCATAAGTTTCTAACTCATCATCATACTCACTCTTAATCGGATTAGATAAAGATTAACCCATGCACAAAGCACACACATGAAAAATAAGCTCAACAAAACAATACAATTTATGAGCTACTCCTATTACACAACATGATAGTCATATTTTCTTCTTGACTTTGTTTTTGACTTGTTGATGTCCTTTGTCAGCTTTGATCCATACTTTGTTATCATCAAAACCTTCATTCTCCAGATGTGAGTTGGTTCACCACTATGAATCTCAACACTTCTTAGGACTTCAAATCGTCCAGTCAGACGAAGGTGTTAAAATTCATCAAGCAAAATACAAAAAAGAACTGCTACAAAAGTTTAAGATGGACGATGCAAAACCAATGAAGACACCAATGCATCCCTCAACAACTCTTGGTCTAGACGAAGAATCACCATATGTTGATAGCATAATGTATCGAGGAATGGTTGGTTCTCTCTTGTACCTAACAACATCGAGACCCGACATCATGTTCAGCGTCTGCGTTTGTGCTAGGTTCCAAGTACGACCTAAGGAGGTACACTTGCACGCAGTTAAAAGAATTTTAAGATATCTAAAAGGAACACCTAACCTAGGCATTAGCTTCTATAGAAGCCAAAACTTTTCTCTTCTAGGATATTGTGAGGCAGATTATGTAGGAGACAAATGGGAGAGAAAGAGCACTAGAAGAGGATGCTATTTTCTTGGTCGCTGCTTAGTTTCATGGACTAGCAAGAGGCAAAGCACGATTGCCCTATCCACTTGTGAAGCTGAGTATGTTGTTACAGGACAATGTCTCACGCAACTACAATGGACCAAACATCAACTAGAAGACTACGACATTTACGAAAGTAGTATTCCTGTACTCTACGATAACACTACTGCTATTAACATTTCTAGAAATCCTGTTTTGCATTCTAGGACTAAGCATATAGAGATTAAACATCACTTCATTAGAGATCATGTGCAAAAAGGAACATTTGAACTGATTTATGTTAAGACTGAAGAACAACTTATTGATATCTTCACCAAACCCCTTCAAGAAGATAGATATGTTTGGCTGAGAGATAGGCTAGGAATGGAATTGATAGATGATCACTAGAATGTCATTTTCACCCTCTATCTCTTTTTGCTGAATACAAAGGGGGAGAAAGAATACAAAATCTATCAAACTAAACCAATCATCAAGTAAGAGGGAGAACTTTAACTTAGGGGGAGGAACCTCATGATACCTCATGATATTTGCTCTGTGTCTGATACAAAATGCCCGATGTGTATAAACATGTATGAACTTGATAGATTGTATTTGTCATCATCAAAAAGGGGGAGATTGTTAAGTTAGATGAAGCGCATCATCAATCCCACCAATGTTTTGAATATGACAAATATAATACATATTGTTATTACTAACATGTGCATTAATGTTTCAGTCGGATAACGAAAAGTCCAAACAGTGGAATATGTTCAAGCATAATCTGGCTTGACAAAACATTAGACAATAGAAAGGCCAACATTAAGACTAAGGTTGATTCAGGCTAAAATCAAGATACAAAGTGTATCAGCAAAAGCCTGAGGACTGGCCCAAATCTTCATGTCTAGCCCATTCCTCTTGGTTTCTTCAAGATATCACCTTTTTCCCTTCTAGGCATGATTCCATCAAAGATCTACGAAGCCTGGACGAACTAAACAAGAAAATCAGATGATGGTTGGTCAAGCAACAAGACTGAGTCTAATAAAAAAATAGAAGAACATTCAACAAACACTAGACAAGGCCTTCTACAAGTCAGAACCTTAAAGTATCATACGAAAGGCCAAAACAAGGCTAGATTCATAACAAGACAAAAATGGGTTAAACATCATATGAAGTCCATACAAACATCAAATGAAACCTAATGGTCAACTCAGACGAAGATTAGTCAAAGCAAAGCATACAATGAGGATCAGATGAAGCAAAGCCATATGATAGATGTAAAACGACGGAAGCTCTAGACAATGACAAGTCTAATATCAGACAAAGGCTGGTCAAAGATCAAAAGAAAGTCAACGAAATATCAGATGAAGGACTACAGACTGAAAAGTGTTCCAGACGGAAACAAAGTCTGTCCATCTATAATGTTGACCAGACCAAAAGAAAGTCAAAGCATTAATGTCAAATGCTCAGATGAAAAATACAAATTGAGACGCATAAGACTGCCAAACGCAGACGAAGACTGCCATTCAAGCCTATGAAGAATCAAGTCTTAAAGGACAAATTAAGGCATCATCTACGATCATTTAAATGCTCTCAACATGATCGCGTGATTAAAGCAAGAGAAGAAGAAGAAGAAAAGCACGTAAAAGTAAAAGCATTCATGTGTCAAAAAAAGTACATTACTTTTTTAGATAAGGACAACGCTCTATAGCTACGCGACCAGAAAAGGATAAAAAGATTCGTAAGTCTCTGCTAAACTCAGACACTGCTACTAACAAGGCAAAGAAAATTTCACACAATGTCTATGAACAGGAAGCAACATTTAATGCAAAATCTTAAGCATTAAATGAGAAGATCGAACTAGTCATGAATGACTATATCTGCTTCAATGGACACTTGTAATGGGCAAATTTTTCAAGACTATATATATATATATCACGACTTCAAACCTTGAAAGGTTGGCTTTTGTGTAGACAAGCAAAAAGTGATATCAAGCCCACAAAGCAATGAAACCAGAGATAGAGCTTGTAGAGTCAAATGTATCATAGTGTATTTATCTTTGTAGACTAAGGAGTTCTAAGTGTAACTTAGGAACATGAACCTTAGTGAGTGTAATCATCTTTGTATCCTCTCTGTGAGAGTAAACCATACACTCAATCCTTGTAAAACTAAGATTGTATACTTTAGTGAGTGTACAAATATATGTATCCTTTCTATGAGAGTAAACCAAACACTTAAACCAAATTATGTATCATACATTTTTAAAGCCTGAAGAGGCTAGAGAAAGAATACTTGTAAAGCCTGGAGAGGCTTGTCAAAGAATACTCACTACGAGCCAAAAGTGGTTGATTAAAGAATACTAGCGCTAATGGTGAATTTAGCGGACCAAGAGGTGGTCGACCATACTCAATAAGAGCCTGAAGAGGCTGAACAAAGAATACTAGAGCCAATGGGTGAAGTTGGCCAACCAGGAGTGGTTGTGACCTGGGTGGTCTAGAATACTCACTACTAGCCTGAAGAGGCTGATTAAAGAATACTAACGTCAACGAGTGAAATTGACGAAGCAAGAGTGGTTGAGAATACTTGAGACCAGGAATGGTCGTGACCTGGGTGGTCTATAATACTCACTACTAACCTGAAGAGGCTGATTAAAGAATACTAGAGCCAATGAGTGAAGTTGGTCGACCAGGAGTGGTCATGACCTGGGTAGTCTATAATACTCACTGCGAGCCTGAAGAGGCTGAACAAACAATACTTGTACTTCATTGATATCTAGTGGAACCCTTCATTTGAAGGAGACTGGACGTAACTCTGTCTGAGCAAACCAGTATAAAAATCCTTGCACTATCTACTTACATTTTAGACGCAATTTTACCTACCTGCTAAATCATATTGAAAACTTCATCCATTATTTATTCTTCAATGAAACTACCCTTAGACGAAAAACATACTTGTTTAAATTAATATCTGAAGAAACAATTTATCCCTTATGAAATAGGTTTTCGTTTAAGAAACATTTCTCGTGTTCGGACGATAAATCTTCGGACGCAAAACTCTTTTGTTGAACCAATCCTGCACAACTACTTTTAAACATTCGAAATAATATTTTCATTGGACGAAGAATGTATCCCTTACAAAAAGGTTTTAAAATTCCTTTGTTCACACACACACATATTCAACCCCCCCCCTTCTATGTGTTTTTCTGCTAACTTCAATAATTTGTCTTTTTCTTCTCTAACAAATTTTGAGAGTTATAACTTTTCTTTCTAGTTCAATCTATTAAGGAATAAACATTAAATGAAATGAGACAAATTGTATGCTTCGTTTAATTTTCTTCATCTTACAAATGATATATATTTTCCACATTTCGTTTGATATGGTATATCTTTGTAGAAAATTCATTTCCTTTTTAATAATGAAATCTTTCGTCTGTTATCATTAAAATATGAGAAATCCAAAATCGTCTTTTGACTTAACAATTCTTAGTTATATTTTCCTTCTTATGAGTATTCCCCTCCCAACTATCTTAATTTGAATAACCAAAGTTCTCTTCATTCTTAATTTAAACGAAATACAATCCATGGGACCATATCAAAATCATGAAACAATAAATAGAAAACATCATGCAACAATAATTAATGTAAAAAAATCTTACATTTACCAAAAAAAATGGCAAAGTATAACATTAATCACTCAAAACTAAATCTACTCTCCTTTTTTCTTTAGATATAACAAAACCATTCTTAAAATATCCAATCTGGTAGATATTCTAATCATCAAATGTGCTCATGAATCCTCCAACAAAGCCAGCTCCATTACAACTTCCACACAATATGTCCCTTTTTCCCCTGCATGAAACACATGATACATAGGATAGGATTTAGATTGTAGCCAAACTAAAGATAGACTTGAACTAAATGAGTATAATACACTCCTAAAGCCACGCGAGATTTTTCAAGTTCTTCAAAATCATGATGGAGTCAAGAATCACAACAGCTAGAAATAATGTTAACAACTTATGCTTAGCCTATGAACACTTACAGTTCAACCATTGAATTGTATAGAAGCACGTGAAGAACCCTGCACTACATCATCATCAAAAACTTTTGCACATCCAGAATTAATATGGTTTAAAGAAGCAAACTAAACCATTACATGAAATTAACTACATCGTGGCAATCGCATGGTGCATAAACTATAGACACGAAAAACATTGAAACGCAAAGGTCAAAGCAGAAAATAACTAAAGTAGTGTAGGGCTTGTTTCAAACAATTGTTTGTTTATTGATCTAAAAAATTTCTTTGTTTTTAAGATGTTTCAGGGGAAGTGGTTTTAAAAACAAATTTCATTTTCTGTGTTTAGAACCCAAAGTCGAGAACGTGGTTAGTTTTTTTGGTTCTGTTTAATGAGTAATGACTTTCAATTCTCAAAACATTAATGAAAAAACACGGAAAACATATGAAAATCATTAATAGCATTCCTCCAGTTATTGGAAAATGAAAAACAAAAGAAGAATTGGGAAAACTGTGTGGGTTCTAAGGTTAGCAAAGGAGGAACTCCATGAAGAATTAGTTTGGTATCGATCACATTGCCTCGTGCATTCTATGTCAATAGATAGTGGAGTTCATTTCCCTTTCATTTCACAAATGCAGGTTGACCTTTAATGAGAAGGATTCATGCTTGCAACCAGAAGACGAAGCAATGTTGATTTGGTTCTATGTTGGAGATGTAGTTTAGATGGGAAGTTTTAGTCCCAGTTCTTCCATATGATATTTTGGAAAGGTGTAGCAATAATGATCATGTTGAGATTCATCATCCATGTTAAGAATTATGTGAGACAAGGCATAGGTTTTCCAGGTCATGGAAATGTCCAAAGGATAGAGAAGTCTCGAGCTAGGAAGGAATGCTTAAAGATATTTCATGAAGATTCTATTATGGAACAAATCGAAGATAGATTGACAAGCTAAAATAAGGTTCATGATTTTAATCAACATGATAGCCCACATTTACTGGTGGATGGAGAAGTAGAGGTTACTGATGAAGATAATCAAAATGCTAATGTGTCTGAGAGTTCTAAGGAAACAAAAATGATGTGGCATTGACTGTTGATGGGTATGATCAATGGCAATCATATAATACCTGACTTTGAGGAGAGCTCCTTTATTCCAGTTCCATAATACTAAGGGGCAATTCAAACTTGATGAAAACAATAGTGAGAATTGTTGGGAAATACAAGAGGGTTAAACACTAGAGAGAACTCTATCGATGGGTCATGAGAAACTATTATACACAAGTGAGCTTGACACTATATCTTAATTCAAAATTTGTGAATTTGACACCATATCTTAACCTAAAATTTGTGGATTTGACACCACATTTAACCTAAAACTAGTTAAATCATTGGTTCTGAACTTTTCATACCATTTTGTTAGTAAATATAAGTGGGGTTAAAAACTAGGGAGAACTCCATCAATGGGCCCTAAGCAAACTATACAAGTAAACTTAATACCACATCCTAATCCAAAATCTAGGGTATTATATTTATAGGTCTTTCTCACTAATATGTTACTCAACATACTACACTTGCACACCAACAATAATAATGTTTTGAAGGTTGGTTTAGATGGCTGCATGGATGTATCTATTACCACTAATGTAAATGCACATATCTCCTGTGAAGATAGATTTGAGGAGAGTTACAATTGCTAGGTAATGAATAATGCCGCTTGGGTAATTGAAAAAACCTTGTCTAGTACATTTATCAGTTTAAATATCTTTCATTCAAACTCTTTCTAAAATCTAATTATATCGTTAAGACCAAGTTCAGGCAACCAATTAGCTACTACCCAGCCATTAAGTCTCAATTGGTTGCTATTGATGATCTTACACTGAAAAATAATTGTTATTGCTCACTGACAAGGAGGAAAACAATTTTGCAGTGTTGACCATGATCTGATAATGATGAGGATGATCTTACTTCTTAAAGACTAAAAGGTTATATATAGGTTTCAGTCTTGAGCTGTTTTGGCTCAGATAATAACCCTATTTGTTTTTTAATGGAAAGCATGGTGTGGTAGAAGCACTATATTGAGAAATTGATATGCCATAAAATGCAAATCATAACACAACACACTCACTTGCTCGCACTAAAATTAAGGGACAAAACAAGAAATGTTGTATTTGGTAAACTTGCCTGCATAGCCAACACAATCCACCAGCTTTAAATTGTCCATTGAAGTGATCCACAGAATTAACTCCAGTACCTTTGCATTGAGTGCATGATATTGCACCTTGCAGTTGAGTAAAAAACAAGCTTAATGAGTTGAATGTTGAGATTTCTAATGGAAGGAGAAAAAACTAAAAATTGTATTCGGCTTTTGAAGTAATTGGCAAAAGCAACAGGCCTAGGTCCATCCTCACGAATTACTGGGATTCCAAATACACACAACAATTAGAGACGAGAAATGCTACGGCTTCCAAAATGGAGTGGCTGTATAATCCTCCGAAGCGTTAAACATTGACATATGTTAAATTAAATTAATATTTTGTTCAAAATCAATTCACGATGTCAATTTTTAATGGTTTGAAGGATTATTCTGCATAAGCATGTCAGAGGATACAGCATTTTTCGTTAGACTTATCATCTGCTGTATCTAACTGACAATGCATGAATGCATCTCTAGGCTATCCAATTGACTTATCTAATGGAGAATATGACACTAATACTAATGGAAGAGTAAATAACAAATATACAAAGTTTTCACTGGATGAACCATCACTTTGTCACTATATCTTCCGGTGATATCAACACAAAATCTAATTTAGTAAGTGATCAAGTGAACAGTTTTAAGACATTGCCTTCACTACTGGCATGAGAATAACTTGACAAGGAAAAGGCCCAAAACTTCTCAACAAGACAAGAAAGCACTGAACAACAAAATTTTAGCAGTCCATTATTTCATCTTCTTGTACCAAACTAATAGTTGCAACATGACATGTCATACAGGTATCAAATTCAAACCCACCTAATTTGAAAGAATAAGAAAAAGAACCACATAAAGGAAGTACTTACTATCTACATTTCCCCTTACCATTTCCGTCACAATCAGGACAAACGATACTCTTTGTTTTGGTGCTTGGTTTATCATCAGTAGCCTGCATTAAACCAGCACCAGAGAGGGTTTCAATTCAAGCTACATGAATTTTTCAACACTCTACAGTCTTGACATAACAACTGGATAACAAGAAGCATGCTATTGTAAATGGGACACTAAAATCAACATTACCTTAACCTTCAAAGACTGAAAGTTTCGAGCTTTGGAACCGTCGCATGCTTCGGTTATCCAAAAAGCCTTCTGGGCAACCGAATTACCGGTAACTGTGCCTATTTAAAGTGATGGTAAAACCACATTCAGTTACATTAAGTGCTGCAAAATCCAAGAGGTATCACAAAGAGAGTTAGTTACCTGGTGTGCACGAGGATTTGAAGGAACAAAAAGGTGCAAAACTCAGAGAGTGTGCCATTTACAACTTCAAGTATACTCTCTTTAATTTCCAGGTAGCAACGAACGAACACGAGTTGAATCGGATAAGAACGTTTGTCTCTGTGGGAAGAGTTTGATCCTTGTTACTTAAATGCCCTTTTGACATGTTCCACTGACAATGAACCCCGAAAATTGGAAAATCACAATTTTTTTTCATTCCAAAACTCGTGGGCATTAGCTTAAAACCACGGCTGATTGTAGTTTTTAAAATTAATTAGTTGTTTTGAAATTATTTATGCTTTTGGGACAGTTTACTACAGTGTCGCTGTGGACCATAGCGATATTAGTGTCACGTGTAATTTTTTTGTTTTTTAGAAGTCATGAATTCCATATTATTAAAGTCGCTGTAGCCAGTAGCGCTTCATATAAAGTCGTTACAGTCTACAGCGACACAAATTAATTTTATTTTATTAAAAAAATTATTCAAAATTGTAGTATTTAATGTGTTTAAAAAAATATAATTTATTTAATTTTTTTATAGTGTATAATTTATAATTTATAATTTATAATAAGATATAATATTTTTATAAAAAAGATACATTAAATGTAGAAAAAGTATAAAAAAAAGGGGAGCTCGCTATGGCCTATAGTGCCTCTCGTAGTCCATAAAAAATATAATTTTGATTAAAAAAATATAAAATATAAAAGAAAAAATAAATCGAAGGGAAAAAAAAGGGAAAAAAAGAAGTATAAAATAAAAATTTTATAACTCAGAAAAATGATAATTTTGAAAAGAAAAATAAAAGTTGATGTCGTTGTAGGCCATAGCGACACGCTATGGCCCATAACGACCTCAATTTTTTATTTTTTAAATTTTTAGTTTTTTTTTTGTCTACCTAAAGTCGTTATGGGCTATAGCGACAAAAAGTCACTATGGCCCATAGTAACCTCAGTTTTTTCTTCTTTTTTTTTCAAAATTTTTATTTTTTTTTATCATTAGGTCATTTTTTTCTCTAGATTTATTTTACCAGTTTTTTTTTAAATTATTTTGTAATTCATTTTTTTTTTGTGTTTTTCTATATTTTTTCCCATCACTTTTTTTGTGTGCGTTTTTTATTTATATTTCTTTCCTCAGTTTCATTTTTTTGTGTGCGTTTTTTTTAAATAATTCTTTTTGGTGCGTTTTTGTTTTCCTTCAGTTAATTAAAATACATCTACAAAAGGAAAACAAAAAATAAAAAATGTCAAATATCAAATTAACTGAATGAACAAAATGAAAAAAATGCATAAAAAAATAACAATAGAATATAATCTTTTAAAATAATATATAAAATAAATCTGGAAAAACTTTAAAAAAAATTAAAATTAAAAAAGGAGGTCGCTCAGGCCCATAGCGACTTTGTGCCGCTATGGGCCATAGCGCCTCCAACAAATATATAAACTTTATTTTAAAATATCTTGTTTTGTTGTACAAAAATTATTAATATATTTTTAAACATCAATTTTTAAAAATTATATTTTAAATAATATTTTATTTCTATTAAAAAATATATTTTTATCATAAAATTGAGCCATTTGAAATGGTTTGGGAGCCTATAGCGACACTACTTAAGTCACTACCGGCTGTAGCAACTTTTACGTGGCTAAATTTAAGCCGTTCTCAATTTTAAAAAAAAAATGCCACATGAAAGGGATGTCACTATGGGCCATAGCGATAGTGTACAAAACAACCCCAAAGGTATAAATTATTTCAAAACAACCTCATTTACGTAAATAGTTTTAAAACCTACCCAACAATGGTAAATCAGCCTAAAGCTACTCATCCTTGCGTCACCAACAAATACTAAAAATAATTATATACAATAAATATTTAGTATGAGAAATGTACACATTAATTATGTAAAATTAATATTTCATCTGAAAAATGCACATACTAAAATACTTATATATAGAGAGAGAAAAAAAGTGATATATATTTTTAAAACAAAAAGTACTAGCTACTAAAATAATTTTTTTCACACAAGTCTAAATTGGTCAAATGAATTGTTAGTTAAAAACTGTTTTAATAGTCTTGGCATATAGACATCAACAACTTTTGTTTTAGATTGTGCAGCTTAAAAGGTACATTCTGGGATGCAACAATATTTGAAAATTCAAATGTTTTAAAGAAAAATAGATAATAGATAATCTAACTCGAGTTTAAAATAACTGATTCACAGGCTTACTTTACACGAAAAGTCCGTTTAAGATTCAAAATAGTTTTTAAAACTCTTAGACTGTACTAAATATCCAATAGATTTTCTTAAGAATAAATTTAGGGTTTAAATTATTTTTTGCCCATGAAGTTTTATTATTAATTTTAGGGTAAATTGCACCGTAATATTCAATTCGTGATTTTGATGTTTCCAACACTAAACAAAATTTGTTATTAACGACAATTATTTAATGACAATAATTTAATTGCCGCCATATATAAAAATATTAATGGCTAATATATAATAGTCACTAAAAATATATTTATATTAAACTAAAGTTTACTATTAGCGACAATTATTTATTAGAAAAAACTTAAGTCCCACACCGATTAGAGATAAGATAATTAAATAGTATATAAGTGAGTAATAACTATCACCTTACAGATTCATTTTATAGAGTTGACTCCTAATTCACTATTCTAAATTGGTATCAAATCACCCATTATTACCAAATTCAATAGTGTTATAAAACAATTAGAGAGCAACTTTCACCTTATAAATCTCACATTTCTTAAGAGACAAGACAATTAAAAAAATATATTAAAAATATATAAATAAAAGAAAACTCTCATCTTACAAATCCCACATCAAGTAGAGATAAAAAAAAGTATATAAGTTATGAATTTAGAAAAGGAAATTATAGAAATATATATTTAAAGTAAAGGAGACAATTGAAAAAAATAACTTTTAATAGCCTTTAAAATGACTACTAAAATTGTCACTAAAAAAAATAAGTTTTTTCGACAATTTAGTAGATCTTTACCAGCATTTTATATAAATGTCGGTAATAGTATTAGCGACACTGGATACACTAACATTTATTTAAATGCTGGTAAAAAAATAATGGTCATTTATATGACCGCTAAATAATAAATTAATTACCACAAAAAATTAATTTTGGTGTAGTATTCAGTTTTTAATTCTCCCATTTTAGTCATTCTTTAATTTGTGATTTAATAAAAAGATCATGTTTAATTTTTTTTAAAATCTATTTATTTAAAAAGATTAGACTTATATTTATAGAAAAATTCCATAGGCCAATCTTTTTATCTATCTATATATAATTAAATAAATAATTTTGTAATATAAAAAATTAAATTATCAATAATTTTTACATTTCCATAATATTTAAATTTTTTTTACATTTCTTGTTCGTTTGATATAAAAAATAAAAATTCTAATAGTCACATCTTTATCTACTGATCTTTTCCTTTACCTCCATTTAGTTATTTATAATATTTTAAATGAGATATAGGGAATATTTAGAAACTTTTTTTTTAGATAAGATTATATATTTTCATTTCAGCTTGTGCCAAGTGTAGATTAATGTACAAGTATATGTATGAGTTATCCCTAAGATAGTTTTTATTTTTTTTATATTTTTAAATAAAATAATAATAAAGTAACATATTTTTTTTATCATGCATATTAAAAAACTTATCATATAAATAAATAAATAAAAAAGACTTGTAATGTGTTTAAAAATATAATTGTTAACATATTTAAAATTAAATTTATTGGCCTATTGCACTGTAAAATCAAAGTGACATCCAAGAGGTAGGTTACATGTATATATAGAGTTTGGTAGTTTGTGGTGCAAGCTAAGCAAGATTAGGTGTAACTAAGGTTAGGCTAACTTGTACTCAAGCTAACTAACTCTAGTTAAAATTTGAATTTTCCCTCCTAAAAATGTCAACATCCTAGATCTAGAAGAGCTAATGAGAGTTTGCCACACGGAATGGTGCAAAAGGTGTGATAAGAGGGTGTGTTAGTGGAAAAAAGGGGTGTAAAAGTAAGCATGTTAAAAGTATGACTAGTGTACGGAACATGTGACTTGGTAGGTTTGTTTGAACTAATGAGAGAGATATAAGCTAAAAGTGTATGTTTACTCCTTAGAGAAATGCTCTTCATTCTCTCATAGGCAAAATAAACCTAATAAGCACATCTCCAAATACTAATTATAGCTCCCTAAAATACTAAATATACCCCTAAAAAGAAAATCACAAGGAAATAAATTTCTACGCTATTTGCTCAACATATATAATTAATCATAAAGTAGTAAAAAGCTTTCTAAATAAAAATTTGTTTGTAAGCATTACAAATGGTTCGTAAAAGAACGTCCAAGGGTAAGGAACTCATATTATTTTGCAAACTTAAACAAGTTTTAGAAAAGGTAACTAATAAGGAAACTAAAACAAAACAAAGTCAAGTGGTTACCTAAAAGTCATAAATAAATTCCAATAGATTAATAAGTTTTATAAAATAAATATACAAGACAACAAAATAATACAAAATAAAACTCTAAATCTCCGATGTCACATCCTGTAAGAGTTTGACCCATAAGTATATTGCCAGGCCTAAGCGTCATTGCCAACATCATCATTATGATAATCCTCACATGTAAAATGTAACATCCCAGTTTTCAAAATGATGTGTGTGTGCTATTTAACTTTTATTTCTATACCTGCAACTAAGTGAGAAGTTTCTCACTCCTCTTGTTATTCTTGTATATGTTTAAATTTATGTTACAGGTAATCTTAATCATGAGGATGTTGGTAATGAAGTCTAGAGGCTTAAGTGGGCATGCTCTGATAGGATGTGACATCGGGCTTAGCTAGGCTTCTTTCTGGGATAATAATGTTTTATTTTCCTTCTTTTGAAATTTAAATATATTTGTATGATATAAAAAAAAAACTTATAAATTGATTCCTAACTAGGAGGCACTGCCACCTTTACTGGGATTAATTTATAATCTTTGTTTTATTATGACTTCTTGAGTTTGGTATAAATGTTAATTACGAATGTGCATCTTCTACCTTATGATATTTATTATCACTCTAATATAATATTTTTTTTAATATAGTTAATGCTTATTAAGTAATTATGTTGGGGTAGAGGGTGTCACATAAAACACACTTG